CCAGGGACGTCCACCTCCAGCTGCACCCTCATCTGCAGGAAAATGCCACCAAGCAACTGCTCAACTCCCTCCGACAGGGCTGTCCGGGTGCCACCACCCGCCTCCCCTGCAGCCCGCAGGTGGGTCCCAGCCCGACGCAGCTCCCGCTCCACCAAGAGGTGCATCCGAGTGCTGATTGGGGTAGAAATAAATGTTTATGAATGGATCACGGCGCCAGGCATCAGCCCGCGATGAGGCACAGCTGCAGTTGGGCCGTAGCTGAGGGAGATGGCCCCAAACCATGTGCTGAGATGGCTTGCACAGCCCTTCCCCCAGTCGCCAGGACCCTCCCCAGGCTTCCTTCTTTGATCTGGGCCTTTCTCTCTCATGGCCCTCAAAAGCTCCACCTCGTCTTGTTTTCAATCACCTGAATCTATTTTACCCAACAGGCAGGCAGCCAGGTGCCGGAACAGCTATTCTCTGTGTTCAGATCATTACTCCTGGCTGTGTGCTCTTGGCAAGCTATCTAAACTTGCTAAGCCACGTGTGACTTGACTTGCTGGCTTTGAAAAAATAAATAAATAAGGATAAAAGTTATCTTGTAGATAGGACGACCATGTATGGTTGCCCAGGCTGGGTACTGCACATCTGCAGCTCCAGAGGTTTCCATTCCTAAAATGTGAAGATACAGTGCAATGGTCACTGTTCATGTGACTCTCGACGGAGCTTTAGAAGTGTGATCCCCCATTACACTTGGTATGGTTACAATTCCAACACAGTGGCTATTATTTCCCAGGGCTATTGGAAGAGTCAGATGAAAGACCTGCTAACAGGAAGAGGATGCCCACCCATCTTTGGCCCTTGTCCTTGTGTAGGGCTGCAAACAGCCCTCCTGGACCCGGGGTCAGCAGGAAAGGCATTTGTGAAACATCCACTGGGCCCCGGGCTGTGCTGAGCAACCTCATAAATAACGCCTGCCCTCCTATTAGTGGGGGAGGGTACCGGGATTGAACCCAGGGCCACTGAGCCACATCCCCAGCCCTATTTTGTATTTTATTTAGAGATAGGGTGTCACTGAGTTGCTTAGGGCCTGGCTTTGGCTGAGGCTGGCTTTGAACTAGTGATCCTCCTGCCTCAGCCTCCTGAGCCTCTGGGATCACAAGCATGAGCCCCTCCGCCCAGCTGAAACCACGCTATCTTCATCAGGGGGTCCACTCAGGCCACGAGCTCATCTAAGCC